TATATATATACACTGTAGAGAAAATGGTTAAATATAACAAGTCTGTCATCTAGCACATAATTATATGAAATAACACATTCTTAGAAATAACTTTGAGTATATACTTGTGACCTTACATTAACAGCAATGTTACATCTCCATGTAAAGGAACTTTAACATGAAGCTGTAAGGCCATGTAAGTATAGCAATTTAAAAAAAATCTGATGTCAGTATAAACATTGGTGTATTTGCTTTTAAGTTAGGCAGAAAAACATTCTTTTTGTGTTTGCATACACAATATCTTATCCCATTTTGTCTGCCCTAAATTAGTTGGGAGACTAATTTAACTCATTTTAGCTGAAATTTTAGTTACATATTAATGTTTGCCAGCATGGTGTGCCATGCTGGGGAAACATTTATAAACTGGCTCCTGGTGTGTCCCTGTGCCTTTAAGGAAGAATGGGCTGCCTCCTGGTGAACCCAGTTCACCCTTTGCTATACTGTATATGCTCCAAGTTGGAGGCTCTCATAGATTAGAGTTAGGACCACACTGCACAGAGGGGCCTTGATAAGACAGTGGGGCCTCCACATATTTTGCAAAAGTTGTGCAACTAAAACCTCTATTTGTAACCCTAATAGTTAGACAGTGTATTTTTTCTCAGGCTAGCTGGTAAATGTGATCAAAATGTTGTGCTTTTGTACATTTGGAAATTTACATTTTTGTGGTTCGTGGCTCTCAATCCCATTTGTTACTGACAACTCATATTCAATGGTTGCCAGTCACGTTATCACTATGTCAGCTATGATCACATTCAAGCTGAAGGCTTCATTCCCAAAATAAGCCTTCAGCTAGCAGATGGCACAGCAACCTGAAGGTGGTTCTGTGCGTATGTGCTCAGAATACTTGCACATTATGGCAGACTTAACCACTGTGTGCACTTCTCCAGCAATGAGAGTTTGTGTTCCCACTTGTTGCTCCATCCCTTGCCTCATCTTCTCTTGGTCTTCTCCCAGCCTGGCATGCAGGCTGAAAGAAAATCAAGAGAAACACCTCTGTCAGTTACTTCTTGTCCTGAAGACACAACAGGAAGCGAGAGAATCTGTCTAAAGTGAAAAGAAATTCCCTGTTGGACAATTGACATCAAAACATGTGTCCCCCCTGGAAAATTTCCATTCAGCTTACGTTTTGCTGACAACAATACAATATGGATTATCCATTATTTTGGGGCTGATTATTTTTTTTTGCATGTAATTTTTATTGCGTTTTTAGTGCAAATACATATGAAAATGACATCATAGGAACCCGGTACACGTACAGTATAGTATAGATCAGGTGTTATACACAGTTACAGATTTATACAGGTCAACAAAGAAGATAAACAGCTATGACATCATCAAAAGGTCGTTATAGCCACCATTTAACAAACCATAAACTGAGTGGTGGTTCACAAAAAGAGAGAAGAGGACAAACACATAGACAAACATATAATGCGTCATCGTAGGGCTCGAAAGATCTTATTGTGGGAGTGCACCAGATAGGAGTGGATCAACATTGAAGATGGGACAATGGGACAAGGTGTATGTCAAGGGTCGAGGAACATCGGACATAGGAGTAAACCAACAGAAGAGAACAGGTTCTCCACCTGGGGTTGATTTACAAAATTACTAGAGACTGCTCACTTACTCACTTGCATAAGTGAATAAGGTGAAGCTATGGTGCCTTAAATCATACAATCAAGTGCGACAATCCAATTTTTTTATTTCTTATAAAAATGTTTTTATATCATAGTTCCCTTGCACATGATCAGGTGTTGAATGTGAACTCAGCTTCACCCTATTTACTAAGGTAAGTGAGCATTCACTTTGGTAAGTGAACAGTCTTTATTTCTTTAGTTAATGAACCCCTTTATGTGAAAGTAATGATGGTCACAAGGGCAAATAGAGGTGCTGAATCTCCACAGTGGGGATGCTCAGTAAAAACCTAAAAGAGGCTTTAAGATTTCCACACTATCCAAAACGGAAAAAAGTAATCGTTTGATACACGTTAACAAATGTAATTAGCCTGTTAGAAATGGCCTTAGCTTGAGTATAAATCTGCAATTTGCATGACCGTTTGAATGTAAAAATTCTTGACTTCTTTGCAGAAAAATTATTTTAGCATTTGCTGTATTTCATTGTACTGGTAAATACATTTTGAATCAGTTAAAAACAATTCACAGTTGTATTAATGTGTTTCTCTTTGTGATTATGCTTTTATTTTGACCTTTTTTTACTGTAACAGTCCCAGTTACACTGTTAGCTAGGAGCACTTGTTTATGGAACAAATGTTTATTTTTATTACTATGGGCCATTTAATACTATTGCACTTTCTTGTGGTTAAACATATCTGCAGCAACCTGGTAAAACTGAGGACTTTTTAACCTTTGGACTGCCAAGGACAAGCAGAGTACAAACTCCCTAACCCAAACCATGCTTGTTTAGGGGTGAAAAGGTTAAGCAGTACTTTCAGCTGTGGTGTCAATCAATGTTTTCATCCAACATTTACACAACTTTCACCTAAGCTTTGCACATATTTCTAATTTAATCTTATGTGCAAATCTTAGGTGAAAGTTGTTTCAATTTTGTGTGAAAACATTGATAAATAAGCCAGTACGTTCACTACAAAAGTATCTATCTATCTATCTATCTATCTATCTATCTATCTATCTATCTATCTATCTATCTATCTATCTATCTATCTATCTATCTGTCTATGTTATTATAAAGTTGTATAATATAAATAGCATAATATGTCATATATTAACTTGAACTAGTAACTTGTATATTAAATGTAAAATATGTGACAATAACATGCACAATTAATATTCTGATATATGATAATGTTACAAAACAATTCTATGATTAAAATGTGGCTTTTGCAGATGCTGACTTGTAATCCCTGATTGTCACTTCTGATTGGTCATTCACTCGGCTGCCCTCGGCAGCTTTGTGAATAGACCCCTATGTATTCTATATGCCACTGGCCATCTAAGAAGGGAACAACCATGATACATGGGATAAATAACCTAAGGATCCAAGAATGTTCAGGGTGCCTATTGTACATTGTACAAACTATATTTCTTTATGGTTATGTTCTGAGTTACTTTTTATTAAAGCACCTCTTGCTGGGTTGCAAAATTTGTGTTAACTTAGATTCCTATCATACTGTGCAATTAAAGCACATTTTATTTTACAGTACATTTAAAAAGTCAATATGGGTTACAGATCAATCTAGCGGTGAACACTAGCTGTTTGCCTGTGCTTACTGGTGTCAGAAATTATGCATTCACCAGTGTTCAGACATTAGATACGTGGGCAACAGGACAGTCTTGGAATGAATTATTCTTTTACCTTGTGAACCTGTCATTTACCCTAACGGTAAAATAAGACTGTAGATTGAATACATTAACAAGCAACAAGATCTACCACCCCTGATAATGTATTTAATTGCTAATGTCTTGCGTTATTACTTAATGGACATAATAGATTAGTTGGACTCATTCTCTATCTATCTATCTATCTATCTATCTATCTATCTATCTATCTATCTATCTATCTATCAATGTGTATGAATCAGGGATAATCAATAAGCAGGGATTAGTTGTTCTTAAATATGAATATTTATTTTCCTCTGAAGTAATGAGAAACACTGATGCAGTTTCATAATTAATAAGATAAACTAAACATTCTAGTTTCACTATGATTTATACATATCCATACTGATATCATTGTTTAAACTCCCATCTATAGAGAACATTAGCTGTGTCTATTACATTTTAAACCCAGTTATTATTGGCTATATCCTGTGAATCCAGTTGCAGTGGTTTGTCACTATACTAAGGGAATCCTGGGGCCATTTGGAGTTGGCCCACATTTGACAGCATGCCTATCTTGCAAGGACAACAT